ACACACACACACACACACACACAGAGACACACACATATATATATATATATATATATATATATATATATATATTTACCAAATTGTGACTGCTAGGCAAATTGGTAAGATATATATATAATAAAAGTATTATATATATATATATATATATATATATATATATATATATATATATATATATATATATATATATAATACGTTTATTGATATCCTACTTGGAATTAACCCTAGCAGTCACAAATTGGTAAGATATATATATATATATATATCTTACCAATTTGTATATATATATATTGGAAGCAACCTTTCTTTTATAAATGTTTCATTGAATATGACAGACAAGTTTTTCTAAGTTCTTAGAGTTATATTTTTAGTCGAAGTCTAAGAGAGAACACAGACTGATCTATCTGCTTGTTGTTCCAGGCCATTTTGGCCAAGTCATATTCAATTTTCTATGGACTCGTTGTGAATAGGCTTCAATGTTTGGCCTTTCAGGTGTATTGTGTGGAAATATTATAAATTATATGGTGCGTCAATGAATGCGTCCGTTACGTCTTGTTGGTGTGTGTTTTAAAAGACCCACACCTTACTGACGTTGTTAAATAAAGTATGGTTGAGATTTGACTTGAATTGTTTTACATAAAGAGACTCAATAACCTTCAGGCGTCGTCGACAATTACATTTATTTAAAATGATGGTGTTATCAACAATTTTTTTCTGATGTGGGTCCCAAGGTTTTTTTTATGACACTTCTCTTACTTGCTTCCCTGGTAGCTATAATCTCCAAATATTCAAATGTAATATCAATCGATATATTCAGATGCCTTGATCTAATTCCCCGTGCTTCTCTTCATCCTTTCCTCTATCACGTCTCTTTACTCTTGCTCCCGCTCGCTGTAACCCCTTGCGTGCTAGTGGCACTCCCGCCTTGCTGGGGGTGAAAAGCTTATAAAAATAATGCTACTAGGTTGGCATCTCAGTCCCACCCTTTCATTGTCGAAACGGTTTAATGTAGCCGTCTCTTCTACTTCAATAGCTTCATGTCTCTCACTTCCTGACTGTGAAACTCCCTTCCTCTTACTTCCTTCCCTGATAGCTATAATCTCCAAATATTCAAATGCAATATCAATAGATATATTCAGATGCCTTGATCTAATTCTCCGTCCTTCTCCTCATTCTTTCCTCTTATTACGCCTGTTTACTCTTACTCCTACTCTCTGTAAGTCCTTGTTTGGGGTGAAATGCTTATAAAAAAAAAAAAGAAGAATATTATGGTTTGTCATCCTTCGGGAGATAGTTGTCGCTGTACTCAATGTCGATGATCGGTTTATGATAAAAGATGCGGTCGTGTACTCAGCAATTGAATCGAAATACCACAGTGGTCGTTTTTAGCTTCGATTTGATAGATGCGTTGGTGTTGATGTCTATAAAATTGGCAGTTTTAATTTTTCTGTAGTTTTACGCGTTTGCTACGGACAGCGGGTGAAATGTGAGGTTCGATGACGTGTTGCAAGGTGAATTCGCCTTTTTGTGATTTGGTGAGCATCTGGTTGCATTAAAAGATATTAATGTTTTGTGGGGCTTTATTTTTTTAGTATTGGAGTCGTTTAATTTCTGTTGGAATAATTTTGATTCTCTTGTTTGTCACATTCGGTGAAACACTCGCTGGCATATATTACTCAAATATTTAACGATGCGACAGGAGAATTTCTACAGATATTTTTTTGTCATAGAACACGCCATGAGTT